TCAAAACAGGGGCTCTTGTCCCATGGAAGACAGTCACGACACCTCTCTTATTCGATCCCTTCAATGACTTCTCATTCTTTTGAACTGACCTCTCAACAACTGAAGCTACAATCCATAGAATCTTCGAATTTCCTTTATCTCCTCTATCATATTCATTCAACCCCATATTTGTATAAGTTTTCGAATTCACAGATTTTGTACCAAAACCCTCTGCTCCCATGATCATTTTTGAGGTTAGACAATTTTTTTTACACAATGAAATCACAACTAGTGAGCATAATATATATATTGTTGATTTTAGGTGGGAATAAAGGATTGTTATCAGAATTATTTTTTCCTTTTTGTTTGGTTTTCCTTTTTGCCTTAGAAATTTATTCCTTTTAGCATCTTGGCGTTGCTTTTACGTTGGCAATATTTCTAAAGAATATCAACAAAGGGGGCAAAATGATACAGCAGATGCACTATCAACATAAAAAGGTAAGTACTATAGTTAACTTTTCCAATTACTTTAACAAAATAAAGTTACAATTCAAAAAAATAAAATGATGAGTAGTAAATAGGTATATCATCTTTTACAACAAAAAAATAAAAAAAAAATCAACAGAAGTCAAAAAAAATTCATCCACAAGGAAAATGACTAGGGTTTAAGGAAAGTAAATTGTACGCAAATCTTACTTCTGTCATGAAAAATGAGGAGGAAAATGGATGAGGAGAGAAAAATATCATGTTTGATTGAGATTCTCTACACTCGAAACCTAATTAATCAACAATGGTTCATTTTTACTTAATACCTGAATGATCAAGAAAATCAATGCGATTCTATTCTATTTTTTATTTTTATTCTTTTAGGTAATACATAATGCCAAAAGATATGTAAACAGAATAATTTAATTACGATATAATGTGTACATCAATGAATGACGAAAAGCAAGTAGACTATCTAACCAAAAAAAATATACCAAAATAGTACAAATTAGAGATAATATTCTTTGTTTTTGTTCAAGAGGATAATATTCTAACTTATCTCAAGAATCAACACTAAATTCTACATGAGTATATATCCTAATGTTTTATTCTATAATATTTCTGATACGAGATCCAAAATAAAAATGATGGCAAAGGCACCAAGGAAAATCCACTGACAAAATTATCTCATGCTTTAAGTTTCAAATTTTTTGCATTATATTCCAACACCGTCTAAATGATACTTTTTACAATATATACTAGAGTACTTTTTATGCATTATTTCCTTTTCTTTTACTTTATGATATGCTTTCTTTTCATTTGTCTTGTATGTTTCCACCTTTTCATCCAAAAAAGTTCATGAAGGCAGGCCACCAGCTTGGCAGGAAAAGAAATTTACACAAGTCATGATTGGATAATATTAGGCCTTTGTTTAAAATTACTATTCAAAAGTAGATTTAGCAACAAAAAAGATTTGAGTTTCTTTTTACAAATACTGTTTGTTTGAGCAGTTTTTGTAAGAATTTCAAACTCATCTTTTCAATTTTGTTTAAAACTTCAAAAACTGTTAATTTAGGTGTCATATTTTTATAGTCTGTTTTTTTTTTCCTCTTTTCATTATTTCACTTTACACTTCAAATTTAATCTTTAATAAGATACTTATAGCTATACAAATATCTATGACTCGTACAAACCACAAGCTTTAAAAGTTATTTTTACTTTCTTTAACTTTATGTTCAGTCAAACGTCACCACATGAATTGGGACAATAGGAAGTTTCATTTTTTTTTTCAAAACAATAACAGCTCAAACAAATTAAGCAGTCTCTGGCAGTGAGGACTCTATGATTTTCACATAATGAAGTATATATGTGAAGAGGTCGAAGGAGATTCAACAAATAGTATATATATATATATATCAATTTATCTATCTATACAGTGTGATTTTTCAGCGAGGAGATATCAATTGTCACCTCTTGAGAAGGGTGCTCTGCCATTGTTTCTTGCTAATTTTCTGAGATAATTGAATACATGGACATTTTCTTTGAGCCTATACAAATACATTTCTTAGCTTATCTAGCTAGTAGAACAAATGTAAAATAACATGATGTAGAAACATTTCTACATCATGTTATAAAGAGTAGAAAAAGCTATATCAATTCCTTTCCCCATCAGCTAGAGCAGAAGTGATAGTGATACTCTGTAGCTAGGATCTTCTTAGCACTAAGTTAAAGAATAAAATTGAAGAAAAGAATGTGACAGAAGTACACAAAACTATCTGATTTATACAGATTTAATTTCCCACTAGAGTCCTTGAGAAAAAGGAACATTTGTGTAAGGCAACCAAGTATCTCCCATAGTGAAATTATAGACAGTAAAGTTCATTGCTTGTAAAGCATTCATTAAGCTATAACCAGGCCATTGTACTCTCATTGTAGTATTAGCCCCTGGTCCATAATTCTCAAACTCCCCATAATAAAGGGTGTCTAGTCCATACGTTCCGTTCCACTCTAACCATCCAACAGGCGTGATCACGTCTCCTATATAGGACTGCATGATAACAGTCCTTGAGTAATTGTGCCAAGGCCGACCAAGAAAACTCAACGTGAGATTCGGGTCCTGTGCCAAATCAGGGGCAGCTTGAATTGTGCAGTTCTGGATAGAAATGCCAGTGTTCTGGTTGGGATCACTCCGGCCTTGTGCTGTGAAGATGTTCTTTTGGTCTGGCATTGGCTTCCTAGCAAAAAGATTGCAATTTTGGAAAATTGCAGCTGCATTGCCAAATATGAAGTCAACAGTACCATAAATATCGCAGTCTCTGTAGAATTGTCTTAAAGAGTGCACATATAATGTGTCTTGATAGCCCTCAAAACGACATCTGTAGAACGTGGAAAGGTCTGCATTGTTCCTTAGAGCTACAGCTTGGTGCTTCCAAGGACCAGCTACATTCTTGAATGTTATGTTCACAGCTACAAACCGCTCCCCTGAAACAGCTGCACATGAAAAAAAGATTTAGATACCTATAGCTTACCTTTTGAATAAATGTAGTAGTAACACTTGAAGATAGAGTTTCACCTGTAGAAAATTTTCACTTGTAAGGGTTGAAAAGCGGCTATTTGTGAATTTTATTTCAAAATGACCAAAAAAAACCTTACATTGAACTTTTGTGACTTGAAAAAGTAGCAATTAGGTAACAACGTACTAGCCAATTTATGTATCATGGCATTAGTGAGGGGGAATTAAGACATAGTTTACATACCAAAGGTTGCTGAATTGTAGGTTGTCCAACCATCTATGACACTTCGATTTCCAGCAATCACAGTGCGATCAACTCCTTCTCCAATCAACATAATGTTCTTCTTGTTCTTGGCCACGACAATATACTCCTCGTAGTATCCTTCCTTCGCGTAGATGAGAAAATAGCCATCATCAATCATTGAGTTATTAGGTGCAAATGCAATGGCTTCTCCTATCGATGAAAAGTTGCATCCACCGTAAGGGCTAACTGTTACAGTTTCCTTAATGTGTACTCCATTTTCTACTAACTCGTCAAGAATCCTTCCATCCCTTTGATGAGACATCTCCAGTGCTTGTTTAACCTGTTTGCTAGCGTAAGTTTTCTTTAAACAGATAAATGCTTAATATGAAAAATCATAAAGGTAGATGAAACTATATGTAATTTGCAACAATTTATAGTACCATAATTTACCTTAAAAATCTTTTTGAGTAGGTACTTTGATCTCTTATGTCTTGACTTTGTATTACTAGCATTAATTGTGATAGGGCTGATTTAATCATTTTTGTTTAATTTTTCTTACAGCAATTGACATGCAATATATATATATATATATATATATATTTATTTTTGGAAAAGAAATGCACATAGAAGAGATTGGGTAAGCCACAAGAATAAGTACTCTTTTCCTTTGGACCTTGACACCCAAATAAACAAGTCATGTGGGAAACACAATACTTGATCTAATAAAATTCCAAAATTTGAGTATTTGATAGTATTTGTTTTGATGATCACAATAGGTGGCACACCAAAATCTAATAATCACTCACCTCTTTTCTTGCATCCTCTGGCCTTTCATTAGTGAAGGGGCTTAGATCCTTGTTTTTTTTGTGAAAGGGACCATAATTTTAAAGATGCCAAGTTTTTTTTTTGTAGTTCATGATAGTTGGTTTCAATTTTTTATTTTTCTTTTAATTGTATAAAAATTAAATCTTATAGGATTTGCATATTAATTATATTTTGAACAAGAAAAAAATATTTTAAATATAATTGGTTTTTTGGTAGAGCATGTGGGAAGGAAGATGATTATGTCAGAGTTCAGAGTTGCTTGCATTTACCAATTGTTTTCCCCACATGCAGATTTATAAGTACCAAATTCTAGAAAAAAAAGAAGGAAGATGTACTGATGTAGGGACTATACTGGGAGAGATGTTTGTTTGTTTGGGATGCAATCGAATGAAGTTAAGGTAGGGACAACTGTATATTGACTTTGAAGCCATAACATACGGTCCATAACTCAAATTTATTTGCAGTCACACAAATCAAAATTTCCATCAAATGTTCTAAGTATTTTTTTTGCCAGCATTTTAATTTCTGACAACTCTAAAGTCAAGAATTAGGAGCAATTTTTTCGTTTCTCTAGCTAGAACTAGAATTCGGCAACTTAAACATGTCAGTAATATAAGGGAAATAAATAAGCCAGACACTATTTTTTTAAAAACGTTATTTTTAACCTATTTTCCTCATATTTAAATTTCATTTATTTTTACAATCCTAATTGTTCTAATATGGTACATGTAATTTTCATTTTTAACTAGGGTATCACGTGGTTTTCTCAGGCCAATCAATAGAAAAAGAGAAAGATACAAAATCTACCAGCTCTCATTTCCATCTAGTTGTTAGTAGAAAACAAAAGAGAGTGATCACTTACACTATGCAATATTTGCTCTACCAAACAATTTCTTTTACTATATAGAGAAAATAGGGGTATGTAGCATCTAAATTACTTGTAATTAGTCTATAAATTCTCTGTTCATATCATATAATTTTTTTAAAAATTGGTTAGTCAAATAAAAATTATATATTTATAAATATATTTTTGAAAAATACTTGATTTAACAAGAGATTTTAATTTTTTTTAGCAAACAAACTACTTAGGAGTACTAGTCATCACAAAGGATAGAGACCTTCTAGTTGTGAGTAGAAGACAAAAGAGAGTCAGGTCATGTACAGTATTGTTCTCCCCTAACAAGATCTACCAAGAAACATATTCGATTACTAAATATAATTTTTAATGTAAGGTAAATATTTTGGGTAATTAAGCAAGAGCACCAGTTCTTGAAATGGGAGAAGTAGAGGCAGCAGTACTCTTCTTAATAACGGTGCACTTTTAATTCGACGTAAAGATCTATGTATAGACATAGTAGCTTCAATAATAGAGAGCGGTGGAACAATCAATGCAATGGGCAGTCAACTTGCAGCAGTAAATGCAGAAATATAATTTTGAATTTCATTTTTCACGTAAGATATTTTGATTTATGTTAAGGTATCTTTAATTAAAGAATAAAAGATTTAAAAAAGTATTAATTTTTTAAATTTTATGTCAAATCAAATTGAGAAGTAATTTTTCTTACCTTTATTTTCTATGAGACTTAATATGCTATTGTTATCAATAAATCAAAGCAAGGAGGTAAGTGATCTAATAAGTAAATAACAAAAACTTGAGGGAAGTCTCTCAAATTATTCTAAATTAAAATATTCATCAAAAATATTACGAGATATAGTTTGAGTATCCATTTAACAAAAAATGTATAATATGGAATAAAGTTGAGATAATTTTAATGGAGAAGTAAAAATATCTCGAGAGTGTTGTACATGTTCGAAATGGGATAATTACCTTGGAAGCGATGAATCTCGAACGTCGTGCCCACTCTTCCTCCATCAATCCTCCGTGTTCCGCCAACAATCTACCGCTCTTTCTGGATTTTCGAACGCGCTCCAATGCATGCGTCACCAATCCAAGAGACACACTATAGATTTCCGCGGCGTTGTTCAGCGGCGCCAATAGTTCAGTCACCATACTGCTACCAGCTTCTTTCAGTCCCTCATAACACGTCTGCTGATTCGTCACCACAGCACTAAGCAATGTATGGATTTTCCCAAATAAATCCTCTGAAGTAGTGGAGACATCAGCTCTTTTAAGCTCGGTGGAAATTGAATTTAAGTAATCGACTGTGAGTTCAGATAACTGGTGACAATCGGTCAATGCGCTAATCTCTTTAGTATTGGCGAATAGCGATCTCTGTTTCTGTGTTGAGAGGAAATGCGCGATTAAATTGGATAATTTGTTGGCTTTTTTCTGGCATTGCTTGACGGAGAATTTGCTGTAGTTGTCATTTGGGTTAGAAGGAGAATGCTGAAATGCGGAGAGAAGAGAGCGGCAGAGTTTTGGGTAAAGTGAGGATTTGCATTCCACGGAAGCTGATGATTGATTTAATTGGCTGAAAATTGGAAGAGCTAAAGAAAAAAAAAAGAGAGAAATTGTGAGGAAATGCTTCCGCATTTTGTTTTTTATCACGTGGAACAACGAAAGGGTAATGTGTTTTGGGTGAGTGTGATCGATAATGGAATTTATAGCTAGGTTGGTTCATCAAGTGGAGTTATAGCTATTTATTTCTATATCATTCATATACATAGATATTTGCGTGTCTATTCATTATTATATATCTCTATTTGATGCATTAATATATTCTTAATTTTAATTTAAAAATCTTTATTTTTATTATAATATTATTTATTTTAGATGAACTAGAAAAGAAAAGTGTTAAAAGAGGGATGGATAGTATAAAATGAGAGAAATGATGGTAAATAGTAAATGCCTAACAATGAAAGTGATTACCAAGCGGACGGCTGGAGCAGCCGGTAGTAACTACTCTTGTAACCACCGGCGGGTTTGTTCACACTCATTTGCACAAAAATAAAACTTATGTTAGGGGAAAGTGGTTGACTAAATACAAAATTCAAGTCTATTTGGATATTATTTTAACTAATTTTTTTAAATCAGATTGATTTAAAGTTTTTTTTTTTTAATTGTAGCTTTTCATAAAATATAAATCCTCATAATTTCTGACCATTATCAAAATTTTCCCAAATTTGTATAATTTTATTAAATGAGCAAATTATAGTCATAAATAAAGTATTGAAATATCCTACTAAATCCTTAAAAAAAATAATCCTACAATACCAAATAATAAATTACATATTTTCATGTATTTTTATAAATAAATATTTGCTTTACATGTTATTGAAATTTTTTAGATACACATAATTTTATAAAAATCCAATGAACAATAGATAAACAATAGGAGTGACTAGTTATTCATTGAAAAAATTCTCTACATTGTACGAACAATCTCTGCACGTCAAGCATTAATTTTTTTTTTTGCGAAATTAAATTATGAATTTTATTTTTTATAAAATATAAATTTATGGATCAGATTTATATTAAATTTTTTTTTGAAACCACTGAAATTCAAATCCTACTTTTTGGTGTGTGTCGCAGACATTTGCTGTATACAGTAAAAAAATAATGAGAACTAATTAGAGTGATAATTGACTGGTAACTATTTTGAAAATCATGAAATGGGCTAATACAATTTTGCTTTAATTAACTAGCTATATTCAATCCTAGAGAAATCTTATTAAGAAAAAAAAACGTTTTTCACATTATGTTTTCTCAAGACGGTGCACAGTTTGCATATTCAAATATTTCATGTAATTTATTCTTCTATTTTTGTTTTAAAATATATGAGCTCTAGTAAGAAAAAAGAAAAAAGAAAAAACTTGCAACAAATTAAAATGAACAATGAAAATTAAAATCTAGATATTTCATTAATGCCCACGCGTTAATGACGGTGTTGAAAAAAGAAATAACTATTATGCTGCTGAGCGAGGCGTTGCAGACCTATCGAAATTTTGCGGATTAAACTCTAACTCATTGCACCCACACCCACACCCACGCCATTGCGCTGAGAGACGAGAGTTAACTGCAATTCTTATAAATAACATCAATTCAAAATTACGTATACAATAAAGATTGTATTTTCTTGTCTCAAAATATTTTTTGTGGCCCGTTTTTTATTTACATGATCTTAAGAAATCACTAATCAGGAGGTGTTTGATAGTTTCACCCACATTTATATATTAGGATATATTTTTTATTCATTACTCATTTATCTTGTACGGTGTTTGTCGTCTTCGTCTTCGAACAATTACAATTAGGGATAAAAATACACATTTAATTTTATCTTAAACTTCTAAAATAACAAATATTTGTAGCAAGAGTGAAAAGTATTTTGAGACGGAGGACTGATCGAGGGAGTCTTAGATTTAATTGCGAGCATAAATGAACATCCAGATTATATAGTAGTACTATTGAAAATGAAAGAAAAGATATAGGAGTAGTAAACAAGAAAGAGAGTCGGAGAAGAAAAAAAGAGATACTATGTAGCAGAAACGCGTAAAACAGTGAACAATATACGAGGCGGAGCTAGGTGGGGTTCATGGGTTCGGACGAACCCCGTATCTTTTCCGTAGACTCTTTATTTGTACTAGAAAATTAATTAAATATTTATTGTATATTAATTTATGAACTCGTTGATTAACGGTTATTAACGAAATTTAGAATTCCAAACTCTTAATCCATAGGCGAACTTATAACATAACGGTGATGGGGACGTACATAAAAAAAAAAAATAGTCAATAAATGCATACGATAAGGAGAGGGTTGACAGAAGAACATGTGAAGAAGCCTAGATTATGGACCAGACACGCCACATGAACAAACAAAACCATCTAAATTTCAGCACCCAAACATGTATGGCTTTCTGTATTTCCTCCTTCACATCTTGAGGACACACCACTCAAAGGCAGCAAATTTACTATTTGCCTGTAACTCCATCGTCACATTCAGTTACATTATACTCTGCTTGTTCAACTTTTCTCAATGTATATATCACAATATTAATTAGGGAGGCCTACCAAATTAAAGTAGCACTTCAAAAAATAAAAGATTTGACTCTAACAGAGTAATAATTATGTGCTACTATAAAATATTATTTTTTCCATCGTACTCTCATCGAACCAACTCACTGTGAATTAAAACGCATGACAAAAAGCAGATTTTCATTCAAATATTGGAATAGCCACTAAACATTTTTGTTTTTCTCACTGATTCAATCAAGACATATGTGAAAATAACATTGAACAATTTCCGGTGAGAATTTTCAATGGAAAAATAATACTGTAATTTTTTTAGTAGTTGTTATGTCATACTACACAGATTAGAGAGAGAAACTAATCCATATGTTATATACACATTTACTTTCCTTCCCCTCGCTATGTTGACTTTCATTTTAAAGGTTCAGAGAAGAATAAGAATTCCATAAACTCTTCGATTTTTGACAAGGAGCTAATTACTCGAGAACAAGACAAACAAATGAATAATATAATTTGCATGTTGAATATTAGGAGAATATATTTAATCTAGCTAGTTACAAAATATAGCGGTTAATATGGGCCAGCACCATTCCTTTTGGAATTTTACGGGTTGGGTTAGCCCATTATATTGGTGGCCCAAAAAATAGTCAGTCCAATTCATCACTATGCGGTTTGTAGGCAATGTCAGGCCAACTCATTCTTTAAAAGGAATATATTTTATATAATTTAAATTCTAATTTTAAAATGTTAAACATAAATATTTTAGAGATTAACTACAGTCTACTAACAGTGGATATTAAAATTACATTGTTTGTTCATTTTTAGAAATACTTATTTCTCTTAATATACTCATACATTACTAATATTTAAATAAAAATAATAAAAAGAGTATTATATGATAACTTAAACTCTAAATTAATAATAGGAGTTTGTTTAGGATTTTTATTTGGCTTACCCAAAATACAAAGGATTCTTTCATCGCTTTCTTCATCCTCATTATTTTCACCCTCCTTCGTAAACATCATTGAAGCAATTTGAGGCATTCATCAGTGGTAACTTTTTACTCATTATTATTATTATTATTATTATTATTATTATTATTATTATTATTATTATTATTATTATTATTATTATTATTATTATTATTATTATTATTATTATTATTATTATTATTATTATTATTATTATTATTATTATTATTATTATTATTATTATTATTATTATTATTATTATTATTATTATTATTATTATTATTATTATTATTATTATTATTATTATTATTATTATTATTATTATTATTATTATTATTATTATTATTATTATTATTATTATTATTATTATTATTATTATTATTATTATTATTATTATTATTATTATTATTATTATTATTATTATTATTATTATTATTATTATTATTATTATTATTATTATTATTATTATTATTATTATTATTATTATTATTATTATTATTATTATTATTATTATTATTATTATTATTATTATTATTATTATTATTATTATTATTATTATTATTATTATTATTATTATTATTATTATTATTATTATTATTATTATTATTATTATTATTATTATTATTATTATTATTATTATTATTATTATTATTATTATTATTATTATTATTATTATTATTATTATTATTATTATTATTATTATTATTATTATTTTAGAAGTAAGACTAATAATTTCATACAAAAATTATTTATTACTTATTAAGTCTTCTTCGCAACGTGAAAAAGTGTTTGGATAAGTGCTTCTACTATTTCAGACAGTGTTTTCTCTTCTTAGTTCATTCAATCAACAACACCAATTAATTGAAAGCAAACTTTGGTCCATATACCAACATATATACTCCAATTTAAATAATACTTAAAGTCGATAGTATCAAAAATATTTAATTGTTATTTTAAAGAAATAAAACTTTAGAATTTTGAAATGTGTTTTCTAAAATAAAAAGAAAAAAAGAAGATGAAAATATAATAATTAAATTAAAAGACATAAGTATTTCTAAAAATGAACTAACAGTGTAATTTTCTTGTCCACTGTCAGTATATTGTAATAAATCTCAAATATGAGATTATTTTTTATTGCCCGTTGGTAGTTGTCAACTTGCTCGTCCATTTCCAGATCAAGGTAAAGTTGTTTTTATTTTTATTTTTGGATAGTTATCAATATATATCATTCAACCATCTAGTTTACCATATCATTCGGCCATCTAGTTTACCAAACATGGCAGAGGCATACACTATATATACACTTGGTTGTATCGTATTCAGATTATCAGCCGCTGGAAACAATGGGTTCATTTTCAATTCGGGTATTTTGATCATTGAACCATCAAAATGCAAGCTAAATTTTCAGATGGGCATTGGAGGATTCAAGTGAAAGATTCAATAGGACTTTCCTACTGATGATTATTTAATTGATCTAACAAGAGATTAATTTAAATCATGTATACTAACAATTTCCCTTTTTCTTGCTTGCTACATTTTCAACTAATTACAAGTAAAATTCCCAATGAATGTACCAAGAATAATTCTAATAAAGCCTATATATATATACAGAACATCTATGGTCACTCTGCTTTTGTCAATTTTAATTAAATC